TCGGCCTCCCAAAGTGCTGGGATTACAGGCATGAGCCACTGCACCCGGCCCACCTGGATAACTTCTAAAAATATTTTATAGAGATTAGGTGTCGGTATGTTTTATTTTGTTTTGTTTTGTTTTTTTGAGACAGAGTCTCACTCTGTCATCCAGGCTGGAGTGCAGTGGTGTGATCTCAGCTCACTGCAACCTCCACCTCCTGGGTTCAAGCAATTCTCCTGTCTCAGCCTCCCAAGTAGCTGGGATTTCAGGTGCCCATCATCACGCCCGGCTAATTTTTGTATTTTTAGTAGAGATGGCATTTCACCATGTTGGCCAGGCTGGTCTCGAACTCCTGACCTCAAGTGATCCTCCTGCCTTGGCCTCCCAAAGTGCTGGAATTACGGGCATGAGTCACTGTGCCCAGGTGGATCTCTATGTTGCCCAGGCTGGTCTCGAATTCCTGGCCTCCCAAATTGATCCTCCTGCCTTGGCTTCCCAAAGTGCTAGGATTACAGACGTGAGCCACTACACCTGTCTGAACCTAGATTCTGTTCTTGCCGTGTGAAGTTCCTGAATGTTGGGAGCAGAGGTGCGATGTGATCAGGTTTAGAACCTGGTCCTGGCTGGGCGCAGTGGCTCATGCCTGTAATCCCAGCACTTTGGGAGGCCGAGGTGGGCGGATCCCCTGAGGTCAGGAGTTTGAGACCAGCCTGGCCAACATGATGAAACCCCATCTCTACTAAAAATGCAAAAAAATTAGCCAGGTGTGGTGGCGTGCGTGTGTAGTCTCAGCTGCCCGGAAGGCTGAGGCAGGAGAATTGCTTGAACCTGGGAGCCGGAGGTTGTAGTGAGCCGAGATCGCACCACTGCACTCCAGCCTGGGCGACAGAGTGAGACTCCATCTAAAAAAAAAAAAAAGAACAAAAAAGAACCTGGTCCCTCTGCATACTGAGAGGGGAACGGGCGAGGGGCAGGAGTGGACGTGGAGAGTTCAGCTAGAGTGGAGCCACTGACATCCCAACGGGAGACCAAGGTGGCTCTTGCTTGGGGATTGCAGGGATGATGGAGAGAAATGGGTAGTTTAGACGCTCCAGGGAGTTAAAGCGATCGCCGGAAGTGAGAGCGAGGGAGGGTGTTTCCTGGCTGCCTGTGCCCACCTGCTGCCATCCGAATTCCTTTGATGTTTGGCCTGCTGAGTCATCTGCAAGTCATTACCCCACAACAGTTGCTGTTTTTCCTTTTTAACAATGCATTTGTTTTGAACCATTGAGCCATTATGTTCCGGGCCAATGGATTTCGTGGCGTTTCCCCAACTACACAGTCCTGGAGAATATTTTAAATGCCATTTAATAAAAGGTTCTGCACAATGCCGTTCCCATGACGTGTTCTGCTCAAAGCTGTCACGAGCTGGTCCTCAAGGGGATGGGGTTCGGCTGAGGACCCTCTTCAGTGTGACTCTGCTGGGCAGAACGCCCTGGCACAGCTCCCCAGGGCCTGATGTGACTGTGCCTGTGCTGGGCAGTGCCCTTGCGTTCTTTTTTTTCTTCTTCTTGAGATGGAGTCTCGTTCTGTTGCCCAGACTGGAGTGCAGTGGCGTGATCCCGGCTCACTGCAACCTCTGCCTCCCAGGTTCAAGCAATACTCCTGCCTCAGCCTCCCAAGTAGCTGGGATTACAGGCACACACCACTGTGTCTGGCTATTTTTTGTATTTTTAGTAGAGACAGGGTTTCGCCATGGTGCCCAGGCTGGTCTCGAACTCCTGAGCTCAAGTGATCCACCCGCCTCAACCACCCGAAGTGCTGGGATTACAGGCATGAGCCACCATGCCCAGTCTTGTCTTTCAAAAATATTAACGATGTATTAATGTTCTTGTGGAACACACCTGCTGTTGAGATGACATCCCCAGAACCCCTTTTCCCGGGGCCC